TATATATCACAGTAATGATGTATTTTATTCTCTCTCATGTAATTTACAAACTTAAAAATGGGAGGTGAGAAGGGCTCATAAGTGGAATAGCCTCTTTTCATCTAAATCCGGCCCTGCCTGCTGTGAGATAGAAAAGATACCAAAAAGACATAAATTGGAAATGAGGTAAGCCCTTTCTTCTTAGTGACTCCTTTCCTTTCCTTTTTTTAAAGTGCCAAATACATGGAATATTATGAACCTAGAGATCTGAAAGCTTTCTCTGCTGAGCCATTGCTGATCTATCCAACACATTACACTGGACAAGCAGGCTACCTCAGTGACACAGAGACATCCACCATCTGGGACAACGAGACTGTGGCCACTGATTGGGACCGGACACTGTCCCGGAAATCACGGCAACAGGGCCAGATCCATAAAGACGCCCAGAACAAGAATGCCTTGCCACCTGGACCTTCCCTTGAGGTGTCATCCACCAGAGATGAGCTATGATTGATAACTGGATCAGCGTCAAGTTACTGGAAACATCAGTGGGACTTCTAGAACTTCCAGAGATATTGACACGCTATCTTACTTGGCAAAATAGTTTGATATGACTTCCTTGAAGGCGTTTGTCTCATTTTTTCAGGGTGCTTGGATGAACCTGACTGAATCAAAGGTAGTATATATTTTTTTAAAAGAAATTATTGAAAGGAGCCCTGGTTTTTGGCTGATTGGCTTGTACTAAAGGAAATTATATGGAGCTGCTGGAAAACTCTAGAAGGAAATGAGGTTATACTCAGGACAAAGATTCCTTAAGCAATGCCTTTCTACAATTCTTGGTGTAGAATTATTGTATTTATAAAAAGTAATATATACAAGAATTGGGAAGGGTCTGCCATTATTTTTCCACGTTGATTATTGGTCTGTTGTCTGCTGCATTGCCTGAATTCTTGCTGGTTCTGATTTTGTGAAGTCATATTCTGAAGCAGAAATGTTAGAATGCTAAATAGTATCTGGTGTCTTGAAATTATCAGATGATAGGACAGGATTTCCTTTTTGTTCACGATATGAATAGCAATAGCAATAGCAATAGCAGTTAGACTTATATACC